ATGTACATATACACATGTCCACTCTCGCACACACGTGCAAAACAAAGAAGAAAGGAAAAGAAAAATACTTTGAAGTGGAATAAAATGGTTTGTATCTGTTTGTCTTTATAGCAATAGTTGTAAAATGTCATTTCTTTCTTTTTTTAGACTTTTTAAAATTCTGTGTAGGGGGGGCGGGGTTTGTGCACCTGAGTGCAGGTGCTCACAGAGGCTGGAGTTACAGGAAATTGTGGGCTGCCTGATGTGGGTGCTGGGAATCGAACTTAGACCCTCTGCAGGAACTAAGCCACCTTTCTAGCCCGTCTTTTGTAATAGAGGAAGAAACCCATGAAAGCCAAAATGCCCACCCAGGTCTGACAGGAAACCGAGCACCAGAATGAACATGCTGGACGTGCAGCATTGGGTTTGGCAGGTTTGGAGTTCAATTTTTTTTTTGTTTTTTCTATTTCTTCAAGATTTCAAAGACTTCCAGAACCTGTTTCTTGGATTAAGACTGAGATCTGGAGGGCCACCAGCAGCCTCAGTAAGACAGACCTGGCCTCCAGGTTCACACACAGGAAAGCCCAGTCTTGGGTCTGTGTGTTCCAGGGAGCATTCACTCGCCCACTGCCAATCTCGGGGCTGGGCTTCTGCCGTTCTTAGATGAACGACTTTCTGACAGCCCAGGCATGCCCAGGCTGGACTGGGCTACCTTCAGCAGTGTGAGTCACCAGACCTGTTGAAGAAGTTTTCTTTGTGGGTGAAAGTTCTCTTTGAGTTCTGGGTAGACTAGAAACCTCCGAAGGACATGCCAGACACACTGGGATTCCTTGCGTGTTAGATTTAGATTAGTGCTGTGTAGTCAGGATGCCAAACCTCATGATACAGAGGAGGAAAAAGACAGAAAAAAAGAAAGTGTGTAATTCATTCTGAAAGTTTAATTCAGAGTCTGTGTCCCTGGCTTGCTGGTTTGACCTGTCTGTGACGCTGATGTCTCTTAAGATGAAAAAGAAAGCCTACAGTCCACTTCAAATTTATGTGAGTGTATGTGTGTGTGAGCATATGTAAATGTATGAGTGTGTGTTTGTGAGTGTATATGTATAAGTGTGTGTGAGTATATGTGTGTGAGCATATGTTTGAGTGTATGAGTGTGTGTGAGAGAGTGTATGTGTGTGAGAGCATATGTGAGTGTATGAGTGTGTATGTAGCATGAATCTTAAAGGGTCTTATTAATAAAATCAAACCTGAGCCAGGTATGGGGGTGAACACTAAGCCACAGCTAACCTCACCTGGCCAACTTCTCAGCTGATCTTGTTTCCTCAGACTGCAAACCTCTGTGTCCTCATCCCAATGGCTCTCAGCTGAACTGCTGCTCAAAAGCCTGAAAGCTTAACCAGCCACATGCTTCTAGTTTCTGGTCTTCACGCCTTATATACCTTATATACCTTTCTGCTTTCTACCACCACTCCCTGGGATTAAAGGCGTGAGTCACCATGCCTGTCTGTATCCTTGAACACATGGATTTCTGCCTCTGGAATGCTAGGATTAAAGGCGTGTGCTACCACTGCCTATCCTAAGTATTTAGTGGCTTTTCTGTTCTCTGACCCCAGATAGGTTTATTAGGGTACACAATATTTTGGGGAACACAATACCACCACATGTTTATGTGTGTTTGTGAGTATATTATGTATAAGTGTGTGTGAGAGTATGTGTGTGAGCATATGTTTGAGTGTATGAGTGTATGTGTGTGTGTGTGAGTATGTGTGTGAGCATGTGAGTGTATGAGTGTGTGTGTTTGTGAGTGTATGTGTGTGAGTGTGTTGAGTGTATGTGTGTGTGAGCATATGAGTGTATGAGTGTGTTTGTGAGTTTATAAGTGTGTGTGAGTGTGTGTGAGCATATGTGTGAGTGTATGTGTGTGTGAGTGAGTGTGTGTGTGTGAGCATATGTGAGTGTATGAGTATTTGTGAGTGTATGTGTATAAGTGTGTGTGAGTGTGTGTGTGAGAGCACATGTGTGAGTATATGAGTGTGTGTGTAAGTGTGTGTGTGAGTGAGAGCATATGTGCGTGTATGAGTGTGTGTGTGTGTCTGTGTGTGTGCACGTGCGCACGTGCGTGTGTGCGTGTGCACATGTGTATGGAGGCCAGAGGACAACTTCCGCTGTTGTTCCTCAGGCACTGGCCTGAAACTCATCACTTAGGCTGGACTGAGTGGCCAGTGAGACCCAGGGATCCACCCATCTCCACCTCCCCAGTGCTAGGGAGATCCTGCTGCCCTGATTTTTGTAACATGGGTTCTGGGAACTAAACACAGGTCTTCACACTTGCAAGGCAAGCACTTTAAAGGCTGAGCTATTTCCCCAGTCCACTTCAAAATCTAATGTGTGTGTGTGTGTGTGTGTGTGTGTGTGTGTGTGTGTGTGTGTGTGTGTTGGTCAAGAGCATTTGCTGAGCAATCAGTAAGTCTGGGCTTTAGATCCCAGCACCCCCATAACAAGCTGGATGCCCCACGAATGCCGATAACCCCAGCTCCAAGACGGGCAGGATGAGACAGTGAGGGGAATCAGTAGGGCATCCTGGCTTCCAGACTAGCAGAGAAAACACAAGCCCAGGTTCAGGGAGAGACACTGCCTCAAAGGAATAGATAGATAGTGATAGAGGAGGACATTCATCACACTTTACATACAGGTGTGTAGGCACCTCCACACAGGTGTGCAAACCCCCACACAGGTGTTCATATGCACACAAATTAAAACTATCTACTGTAGATTGTAGATCCTGTTTTTCTTGCCTATGGGTTTGATACTGATCTCTCTTAGTGGTGTGTGTGTGTGTGTGTGTGTGTGTGAGAGAGAGAGAGAGAGAGAGAGAGAGAGAGAGAGAGAGAGAGAGAGAGAGAAAGAGAGAGAGAGAAAGAAAGAGAGAGCATGAGCTCTAACAAACAGCCCTAAACCATCTCAGACTTTTCAGACCACACTATAGACCTCTTTGCTTCCTGGTCTGTGGCAGGAACCTTGGACTCTGCTCAGGTTTCCAGACTGTTCTGTACTCTGTTGAGTGCTGACTCTGCATGCCTTGACTGCGCACCAGTGTGGGATGCCAGTTCCCGGTGTGCCTATCTCAAGAAATAAGCCACCAGTTTTGTGAACTGTGAAGGCTGCGGGCAAATAGAAACACTTTGTCCCACAGTCAACGAGAGCGATTCCGCCGCAGGTCATAGGCAGAGCCCTGGAGAGGAGAAGCAGGTGGGCAGATTGGAGATGCCACATGCATGGTGGGTCTTCTCTGTAGCCTCCGTGGAAGGCAGAGAGCCACTTCCTAGAACTTAGAGTGGATAAATTGATAAGACATGGCCCTGAGAGCTTTCCCATCCCTGATCCTGAGTTTTGATGCTGTCCCAGCCTCTAGGTACCAGGACCTCTTTTCTGGGAAAGTCTAACCCATGACAGAATTCATGTTGGCCCAGCCCCCTGGTTCTGGCAAATCCCATTGGCTCTCTCAATTCCCCTGACTCTTCTACAAGCTGCTCTGTTGAAAGGGCAGCCCCTCTGCTTTCTTTGATGACCCACCCCCACCTCCTGATGTGAGCACAGTAGGCTTTTTCCGAGATATGCAGTGTGATAAAGTTCCACATGACTTAAAAAAAATTCACATGACACAAACCTGTAATCTTAGCCCTCATAAAGTAGAGGCAAGAGGGTCAGGAGTTCAAGGCTGGTCTGGGTATATGAACCACCGTCTTAACAAACAAACAAAACAGAAAGGAATAAAATCACATTAACAAGACCACCAGTTAAAATAGTGGGTGGGGCTGGGACGATGGCTCAGGGGCTACAACTCTTGCTGGGTTCGGATCCCCAGCACCCATGTCCAAGCTGGACATCAAGGCACATCCGGAACTCCAGTGCTGGAAGGAAAAGGATCCTGGAGCCTCACTGGCCAGTCAAGCTGAAATATCAAGAGAGTCTGTCTCAGAAACCAAATGTTGAATGATAGAGGAAGACATTTGATGTTAACCTCTGACCTCACACATGTACATGCGGGCAAGCATACACACATGCGTGTACTGCATGCACACAAGAATTTGAATTCTACTTGTTTGTTTATTTATTTATATTTTATGTGCATTGGCGTTTTGCCTGCATGTATGCCTGTGTGAGGGCATCAGATCACCTGGAATTGGAGTTACAGACAGTTGTGAACTGCCATGTGGATGTTGGAAATTGAACCCAGGTCCTCTGGAAGGACAGTCCGTTCTCTTAACTTCTAAGTCATCTCTTCAGCCCCTAAATTTGAATTCTTAAAATAATGAATATTAACAGTAGTTACCATCAAATGATAGACTAGTTATGTGTTGTTTTCATTTTGTATTTCTGTATGTTCTAAGTTTTTTTTTCTCATAAAGCATTCACTATTTTGTCATGAGCAAAAAAAAAAAAAAAAGAGTTAAAGCCAAGTCCTAGAAGTGGAGTATTTCACAGGTCGTAACTAAAATTTCACATACTTCAGCTAAAGACGAAATATTCCTGTGAGAGACTCAGGCAATGAAAAATGAAGCGTGTGTTTTCTTGCAGACACCTGCCACCCTGCCACACACTACTCCTGATAAGGTAGCAGCCAACTCTTAGTCCTTGGGTTCAAAGGTGTGACCCTGTAGTGATTATAAGAAAAACAGCCGGCAAGTGCCAGGCTCCTCCTGTGTCTTTTCCCTGAGTGTTGGACCCACACTTCCCCCCTATGAAGCAGCTACTGTTAGTAAACCACACATTTTATGGAATAGGAAACTACAGAATTGGAAGTTAGATGGGTGGTTAAGCTGACTTTGAGTCTGTGCCACACCTGGCTGTCACCTGCCTCTTGTAGCTGAAATTCAGGTAGAACCCCAAAGAGTAACAGACAACGTGGGCTGTAGGAGAGGCTGTCAGCTTGTGCTCTGGGCTGCTTCGGGTGGGGTTTGATCACAGGAGAGCCAGGGAGAGTTGGAGGAGTTGAGGCAAACTGTGTCTTCTTCTTCCTGCAGCGTGCTGGATGTCTTCCCCACGGCGATAGCCCTGGCAGGAGCCAGCTTGCCGCCAAACCGGAACTTCGACGGCCTTGATGCCTCTGAGGTGCTCTTTGGCAGGTCACAGGCGGGGCACAGGGTAAGTTGGGGAAGCTTGTGTCTGGACTGTGTCTCTCATCTCACACCCCCTACCTTGATACAAATGACCACCTCAGAAGGTGCATGTCAATGGCTGGTGCAAACTCTTTGCAAAAATTCCCAGGGATGAATTTCAGAGACGAACTGCCTCCAATAATTCAGTTTGCTAATCCAGATTTGTATTTATATTTATCATTTTGGTTTAGTGTAGAATTATAGAGAGTCCTTATTATCTCTAAGGCTTAATTTTCTTTTTCTGCATGCATTGAATTTTCTGACATAACTTGGATACTCGGCACATTTTTGTTGGACAACATGCCTGTGCAGTTCTAGGCTCAGCTAGAATGGAAGCTCTCTGGGGGCAAGAGTCCCATCTGTTGGGTCTAGATTTCAGTATTCATGTAACTAACATCATCTGTACCCAGCCAGCATCCTGTGCATGCAAAATGGATAAACAAATAATGAATGAATGAATGAGTGAGTGAATGAATGGAAGTCAGCAAGGTCTCTACGTTCCCACCATTTCCCGCACTCTGGGAAGGCTCAACACACACTTTGCATCCTGTTGTTTTGTTGTTGTTTACTTGTTTACTTTTGAAAGACCCCCTTGTAACAGGCTGACCTGGAACTTGCAATCCTTCTGCCTCAGTCTTTGTGTGCTGGGACTACAGGACTGTGCCACCATAGTTATCTGCCTGTTCTTGAATTAACAGCCCCTGGCAGTGACTCTGGGCTTCTACTTTCCAGGATCCCATCCTTGCTTTCCCCTCCTCAAAGTGCTCTGAGGCACCAAATAGTAGCCTGGAAATGTCTGTCCTGATAGGCTTTTCCTGTCATATCTGTGTGTCTTCCATTTACTAAAAGGAAGTGAAAGTGTGGGGAGAGGTGGGGGGCTGGAGGAGCTTGGAGACCCCTGAGTAAGGTCCAGTGAGCACCAGCAAACCAGGTGGAAATCCATGCTTCAAAGGGTCTATTTATGTCTTTGAGGGGGGTCACATGGGAGTGGTTCACATGTGCTTGTGGGCGCTGAGGTACCTTCCCACGTCAACCAGAACCCGGGTCTTGAGTGGACCACCACACTTCTGCACACATTGATGAAGTTCTTAGCGATTGGCAGATTAGACCTGAGCAGTCCTCTGAAGGAGTCTGGGGTCACTCTTGAATGTCTGCCTCTGTAGAGCAGCAGTCTCCGGGCCTGGCCCTCTGGAACAGCACAATACAGGAAGACGGTTTCCGCCTTAAGCCGGAAGTACTGTGTGACCTTAGCAGCATTAGCCGAGACTTCCGTGGAGAGGTGCTCCTGAGTGTCTATGGCCATGGCTACTATTAGAATAATTGGGATCACCAGGAAGTGATCTTCTTGATGTGGTCAGGCTACCTGTGGACGCCAACTCCTTCTCGTGCTTGCTACTATTCCCAGACAGAGCTGTGTCTTCCTTTAGCATCAGATTTGTGCCTTCTCACTGCGTTAGGTCCAGGAACCAAGAGGGAGAAACACGTACAAGTCTTGACACCATCAAGGGACCTACATTGTATTGGTAACTAGCCCAAAGGGGGCTTGTTTGTTTTCTTATCACACCTATGACCTAGCAGTAGGTAGCAGCCTACTGCCTACAGGGAGCTTCTGATGGTATCTTGACGTGGGTCCAGTGCCCAGACTCCCAGGGCACCAGCTTCTTCCAGTGTGCATGTAGACACTCTAGAGAAGACCACTTTGGAATGTAAGAACAGGGCTAGTTGATGGCCATGAATTTGGTTTTTTTTTTTCCTGGTCAGCTTAAACTGTTGAAATGAAGAGAATAAATTGTCTTGGATTTGTAATAGTTTTAGAGGAGGCCAGCAGATCAAAGCAAATGATTTTGTATATATCCACCCATCCATCCACCCACTCATCCATCCACTCATCCATCCATCCATCCATCCATCCATCCATCCATCCATCCACCCATCTATCCATCTATCCATCCATCCATCCATCCACCCATCCATCATCCATATACATAGTATGTACCTCTAAAAATATTTATTTTATGTACATCATGTGTGCCTGAGTTTATGTGGGTGCACTACTTGTATACAGTGCCCACAGTCATCAGAAGAAGACATCAGATCCCCTGTAAGTGGAGTTACAGACAGTTGTGAGCCTCAATATGGGTGCTGGGAACCAAACCCAGGTCCTCTGCAATAGCAGGAATTGTTCTTAACCACTGGGCCATCTGTCCAGCCCCTTGTACCTCTTAATAAATGCAATTTGTGTCCACTCACAGCTCTGGCCTCCATTTAGAAGGATTCTAATATGGGCTGGTTTAGAAAACCATTCCAGTTTCTAGAAGCCCAAAGAACTTCCTAGACAGTCAGCTCAAAACATTACACAGATGTGTCTCAGCGGTTGGCTTCTCTGCATTTCGAGGGTAGCCCAGAGCTGAAGAGAGAAACAGTGTAGACATATCCTCTCATTTAGCAGGGCCATGGAATGAGAGGCATAAGGCAAACAGTGGCTGCTAGTTTTCATACCCATGACCTCATGACCTACCTCATTCCCTCTAGGAAGGTCGTCTCTGTAATGTTCCGAATCCACAGTAGCTGACAGCTGGCTGCATGCTCTGCATATTTAACCCTTTGCCTCCGACACTGATGGGTCTGTGAATAGGCAGGGAGAGCAACCAAAAGAGTGGGCCGAGAGCCTGAGAGGGGAGGGGTACACATTTCAGAACCTAGTGACCCACTTTCTAGTGTCCTGACTCCAAGATGGAAGCTGGAGGTGGTGGTGTCATGAGTGATCAAGTCACATCTTTCATGACCAGGTCCAAATATTGTCAATTAAGGGAAAGTTTCCTCCATACCTCTGCATCTATGTAGTCCACTCCAGTATAGGCCAGCTGTGGGCTATAAATAGTTGGGCACACCCAGAAGCCATACATCGAGGAAATGTGGACACCCATCAGTTCTCTTAGGGAGGCCCCTAGTGGCGAAATGTGTCACCGAGAGTGACATGCAGATGATTGACATACCCCTGCTTTTGGAGACTTGAAGCTGTGTACACCCGGGCCTGATGGGGTGCAGGAGAACACCCCAGGAGATAATACTGTGCAGGGTGACACTCGCATGCTTAACAAAACAACAAAAACGTAGCAAAGCAGAGCAGCACACACGAAAGAAAAGGAACCAAGAAGTCTGTACAGGTTTCAAAAGATAAAGTCAGTTGGCTTTGAACTGTGGAACAGACGTCTGGAGAGGAAATATTTTCAGCCATGATGGCGTGTAAGCTTACAATCTTCTTCCTATGTTGATGTAAACAAGAAAGCCGTCAACAGTCAGCTCCAAGTGGGGTGGCTTATATGAGTGTCTCAAAATCCACCCCCATCTCTAAGAATAGGCCATTTCAGTTTTGTTTCTTAGGTTTTGGAAGTTTTGGCTAGTGCTACTTATACCTTTTGAATGTGGCAGCCTCTCCTTCGGGAGGTTCTGTTACTGAGCTCCAAATGATACCATGGTTTGAAGAGACCGACCTTGACTGTGTCTTCTGGGGACCATCACAGATGGTCCATGTCCCGTGTCTGTCCATGGTGTCATGTCCCATGTCCCTCCTGCCCCCCCCCCCAAGGAAACAAAGCAGTGTCCTGCCGTGACAGGCGTGGCTTTCTGGGGATGGAAGAAGTGAGGTTTTCAGTAATGACTTTGTTTCTTCTTTGGAGGAAGCCTGCTGGGGGTGTTTGTAGGGTTGATGGGGGGGGGAGCAGCAGGTGTTGGGGAGCCCTGCCCAGGGCAGCATTCTCTCAGGGTATTGAAACTCGGGAGAGGGGGGGCAGCTGTTTCCCTCTCAAACAGATGTTTCTCATTATTTTTTCCCCAAGCCCCACGGAAACTTTGAATCATGTAAGTGCCTTCCCAGCAATATATATGGACATGATTCATACCAGGGCAGTCTCATGCCTCCAGCCCAAACCCACCAACCTACCAATGATGCTGGCCTTTTATTTCCTACCAAGTCCTTCCCTTGGGACCTCTGAATTAGGTGTTTCCGCTCTTCAGGGTAATTCTTCCATGTCTGACTGAATCAGGAAAGATTTCCTCAGCAGTACAGTAGGACTGAGTCATAGGTGTCTGTGTTCAGGCTAGGCTTGGGGTGGGGCCATAGCTCAGGGCAGAGTGTGTGCCTAGTCTGTGTGGGGGCCTGGGTTCGATCCCCAGTACTGTAATAAAAGGTCCAGAGGTGGAAACTGTTCTTATGCCATTCTTGCCGAAGAGAGTTAGAAAGGCAACCTGAGGCTGAAGGAGCCAGGACTTCATCATAAGCCCTGGGATATTTGTAAGCCATCTTTATGTCCAGGCTGCCTTCTGCACCTAAGTGGTGGCTGCAGATGGGACTCCTGGGTGTATGACCCAAGTAGCTATAAGAAGTTCCTCTTAGAGAAGGGCACTGAGGGGTGTTTAAAGTGCTGTTGTGGCTGTGTTAGAATTTTTAATTTGTGAAATTAAAAAGCACCGGCCCCCGGCACTCAGAACCCTGAAGATTACAGCGCTGGCATTGGGCCTGTGAGATCTTTCAGCTGCACAGCGTTGTAGACCATCCCTCCTAAGCACCTAGCTTGACAGTGAGTATTTAGGGGTATGGGTAGGGGCATGGGGGATGGAGCAGACCATGACATGATTTCCTTTCATGTGTACGTAGGTATATATGTAGTATGTGTCTTGGGGAGGCAGATGTGCCACATCTGCCTGTGGAGGTCAGAGGACAGCTTTTGAGAGTCGGTTCCGACCTTCCACTTTGCCGAGATGAGGTCTCTCTCGCTGGTCCTGTTGCTACGCTGTGTCATACTCAAGCAGAGTTGGTCCTCGAACTTCTGGCCGATTCTCTCTCTGCTTCCCATCTTGCAGAAGGAGCACTGAGATTACAGATATGCACCACTGCGTCTGGCTTTTTATTTGGGTTCCTGGGATCGAGCTCAGGCCATCAGACGTGTGTATCAAACACATTTTCCTGTGGCGCCATCTTGCTGGCCTAGCCTGGTTCTCTTAGACACAGCTACCGTCTCTTCCTCAGGTCCTATTCCATCCCAACAGTGGGGCCGCTGGAGAGTATGGAGCCCTGCAGACTGTTCGCCTGGACCATCACAAGGCCTTCTACATTACTGGTAAGTCGAGGCTCTCACCCTACCTCCCATGTGCACACCTTAGGGGTGCCCTGTGAGAGGGGGTACGGCTGTCTTTTTTGAGGAGCTTACAGCATGCTCCTCTGACAGCCGACTGAACCTGAGTTTGGCAGGAGGACCCATCAAAATGGAAACAAGGCTCAGGGCTCTGGCCTGTTTTTCACCTCCTTTCACCCAGAGAACAGTTTGCTCCAAGTTAGGCTTTAGATGCCACTTTGGCTGCTGATGAAATAGGAACTCAGAGACCCCCAAAAGTGTCATTTGCTTGGCAATAAACTGTTTCGGAAGGTAGACGCTCAACGTCTACACAGCAGACTGAGGACGACGTTTCCCTGCTCCTTGGTCCACTCAATGACTGCCCTGTGTGTCTATTTTAGAAATGTCACCTGGGGCTGGTGAGGTGGCTTAGTGGGTGTTCCAGTCTGCTTTCTACTGCTGTGACGAGAACCATGACCAAAAGCAGCATGGGGAGGAAAGGGTTTATTTGCTTTCCACATCCTAGGTCACAGTTCATCGCAGAGGGAAGTCAGGACAGGAACTCAAGGCAGGAACTGAGGCAGAGGACATGGAGATTGTTGTTTATTGGCTTACTCTCTGGGCCCTGCTCAGTTTGCTCCCTTATACCTCCCAGGACCACCTGCCAGGGGTGGCACCACCCCCAATGGGATGGGTCCTCACATGGCAGTCCTTAATCAAGAAAATGCCCTGCAGATTGGCCAACAGGCCAGTCTTATGGAGGTATTTTTTCTTTCTTTTTTCCAATTGAGGTTCCCTCTTTCCCAATGAGGGGACTTTTTCTTTTCCAAACTTCAGTTTGTGTCAAATTGACATCCACGGTGGGTAAAGGTACTTGCTTCCAAGCCCGCCGACATGAGTTTGATCCCAGGCATCCACACGGTGGAAGGAAAGAGCCATTCTTTAGGTTGTGGCGTGGATACATACAAACACACACATACCACACATCACACATACCACACATCACACATACCACATATATACACACATACACACACCACACATACACACACCACACATACACACACCACACATCACACACACACACACACACACCACATCACACATACATACACACACATACCACACACATACACACACCACACATCACACATACATACACACACACACCACATCACACATACATACACATACATATACATACACACACACACCACATACATAACACATACACATATATTCACACACACACACACACACACACACACACACACACCCTCCCCCCCACATCCATGCATACGCATAGGCATGTATGCACACAGGTGCACACAAATAATATTTAAAAAAAATTAAACTCTTTATGGTCTTGAAATGGTTGTCCCAGTATTTTTCATTTAGTTGGAGCTCTAACATTTTGAAGTTAATCAGAGAAAAACAAAACAAAATAAAAATAGATGAGAAACTCTGGCTAAAACTCGATGGAGATTTCAGTTTGATTTAGTTATTTCATGTTGGAGATTTTCAAAGAACTATATCATTTAAAAAAAAGAAACACAGAATTTATTTTCTGAGTGTAAAATGTGGTTGCAAAACCAGAACAAGCCCTTTGAGTTCACAGCTCCAGGGATCTTAGAAATGCTTCAAGAATCTTTGGTTCCTAAACCTCAGACAAAATAGTCAGATCTTTGCTATGGTCTCAGAGGGACAGTGCAGGATCAGAATCCTTACATTACATTATCTAAGAGGCACGGGCCCTCCAGGCTGAACTGACCTCATGCAGAGAGAACCCTGCCAGACAGCCCTTGGCACCATGGACTGGAATCGTAAACCTTGCCACGAAGTAACAGGGCTGTGTAAAGTGATCCCAATCAGAGAGGAATGACAGCCCAGACTGAAGGAGAGCCAGGGATGGGGCCACTGAGAGAGAGCTCCACACATCTGAGGGAAACTGCTAACAGGGTGAGATGCTGCCATGTTCTGGGTCCTCCCCACACTTTTTAAAAATTTGTATCCTGATTACTTAAAACTGCATTTGGGAAAGGCAGGTGAATGGGCATCTACTCCATTAGGATGGAGAACACTATGTTCCACGATGGGGAAGTGATGTTGGGCCATGAACTCGGAGTGGCCTTGGAGGATAACCAGTCTTTTGGTGTTCAGCCTAGAACTGGGGAACCTCACTGGTTTTTCTCCCTGCCCCTCTTTTCGAAAATCACCTCTTTTCTTTCTTTTTTCTTTTAGCGTGTGTGTG